TCAATTATGATTGTGACAAGGTGTTATCAAAACAACTTACATGTACATGTACATGTATTCTCATTAGCAGCTAAAACATAAACAGAGAATTATTCACAGGTTAGTTTGTACATGTACACTCATGAGTACAGGCTTGTTCAATTTAGGCTGTTATTATCAGGACCTGCTCAGGATCTATCACTTATTACTCTCCAGTTTATCATACGTACATGTACATGTAGACCAGGATTAGTCTCACAATACATGTAATTAACTGATTCTATAGAAATTAAGTTAAATGTGTCATTATTATTAGCAACAACCTACCAATAAGACACATGCATGTACATGTAATGGGTATGACATAGTTTTGTACATGTACATGTTTTTGAGAAATGAAACATGTACAAAGTTTACCAATACATACAAGTACACATACCAAGTGTACTGTGTACATCAGTGTGGCTCACATCAGCTGTGAGGGACTGTACTGTACATGCATAAGAGTACATAAGAGGAACAATAGTAACCTAATAGTGGGATACAACTACCATGCATTAATATACACATTATACACTATAAGCTATTGCTACATACAGTGGAACCTCCCATAACGGACCCTCCCAGGAGCAGTCAGACTCTATATATTGGACAAACTTAAAAGCATGAACAATACAGTACTACATACAGTATAATAACATCAGTTCAATAAACTAATAAATACATTACCTGAGTGTACTCTCAGTAGGGTAGCAGTATCAGAATGACCTAGTCCTTCAGCCCAATAAAGAGCAGTCCAACCATGCTATACAAGGTAAACACTGATTAACATGATAGTACAATGTTATCACAATCAAACTAAAAACCAACTTTAATTGTTGGTCTGTCTTCAACACTCCATAGTATTGAGTATGTTAGAGACAGTGGAGGTACATTTAGTGTACAAGTATACATTTTACTGATATAAATAATTACATGTACAATACTACTAGTCTACATGTACATGTACATGTATATTTACACTGTTGCAGTATCAATAAAATGTTCTTGGTTATAGCCATAAACTCAGTTACTATACATGTAGATTGAGAAACCTTCATGACTGGGAAGGTGCTTAAATTTTGATGCTTAATGCACATAATATTAATTTAAGTTGATGTCAATACAGACACTGACCACAAGGGACCATAGTGTCATAGTGGGAGGTGTCTGTAAATCAGATACTGCCCCAGTAGGTAAGTGATATAATTACATCAATTTGAGTGGGTGGATCACATTATATATTTATGCACAGTATAACTACATTCTAAGTATGTCCTCCATACCAAAGAAAATGTCAATGCCCACTGGCCTCTTGTAAGTCTATCTGACATTATTATACTATTATACATGTAACACTATAAAGTATTACCATGTAGAAATGTAATTGTTCTGAAACTTTAAATTTTAACAAATGCTAAACAAAGCAAATTTTAATTTTTTAATTTTTTAATGTTTCATTTCAAATTTTTTAAAATTTACAAAAGTTCCTTTCCATACTTTATTCAAAATTATTGAGAATCTCAATTTTCTTCAATTTTCAAAACTTTAAAAATTAAAAATCAAAAGATCATTACCATCAAAAATTAAAAATTTTTCTATACTCAAAATTTTTGAGAATCAGTACCCAAAAATAATTTCCAAAAAATTCAATTTTTAAAAATATTTCTTTTAGTATTACATTTTTAAAAATTTCAGGCCACAAAAGTTTCTTGCTTTACTAAAATAAAAAATTATTGACGTAAAATAATTACTTTAATAAAATTGCTTTCCATATAGTGATACAGTAGAGTACATTAAGCTATACATGTACATGTACACACTGTATGAGATATACAGCACCTGCGGTTACTTTGATCCACCCACTCAAAAGGATATACATGTACAATCACTATTGGAGTATAATTAATGATTATACTTACATTATCAGAGGCAGTGACATCTGCTCCTTTTTCAAGGAGCATTGTCACTGCCTGTGTGCTTCCATTCCAAGCTGCTAATATGAGAGGAGTCTTTCCACCCTATAAAAAGAAGACAGGATAATAAAGACAGTAACACTACTCAGTCAAGTGTCATATCATGTTGTGTACTGTAGTAGTCTAATATAATAATAATGTTAATACTCATTATAATGTGTTATACACAAAATGAACATTTATTAATTTTTACACAGAAACACAAAAGTTTCAGTCACACTAGA